CAACTATTTTCGCTCTTCTCTTTGAAAAAATGCTCTCTGTAGTGCTCCTCTCTGTGTTGCTCGCTCGCGTAAATGGAGAAGAAAGATTTTTTTTTAATATATTTTACGCAAAACGTATTTAAGGAATACGTTTTCTGTACATTTAAATGTAAAACGTATTCCTTAAATACGTTTTGATTAAACGAATTTTTTTTAAAAAAATAATTTTTTTTAATACGCATTTAGTAAATACGTTTTCTGAAAACGTATTACTTAAATACAGTTTTTTTTATTATTTTTTTATTTGACGAAAATTATTTTGAAAATTGTTTACGATTTTTTTTTATTAAAACATTTAAATGAAAACGTATTCAAGGAATACGTTTTTTTAATTATTTTTTTTTTTGAAAAACGTATTCAAGGAATACGTGTGTTTTATGCTTGTCCACTCCCATTTTTTTTATTTTTTTTTGTCCACTTAATTTCAATATTTTTTTTTAAATAAATCACCCGAAAAGGGTGGTGTTAAACAAACGCCCCCATATTAATATTTACGCCTCAAAAGTCGATTTTGTCATTCCTATTAAAGAAAAATAAATTCATTTTTCATTTTATACATTATTGCGAAAAATTTTGAAAAAAATTTCGACTAACTCCGGCAATGACGATGGCGGCGAAGAAGGTATTTTTTTTTTCGTGGCGGCCGGTCGGCCGGACCGGCCGGTTCAGATCTGGTCAGCCGCTAGTGCCGCCCGATTCAGTTTTGGCTGGTCGCTATTACCGACCAGATATGATTCAGCTTGGGCCGGCCGGTCCATTTTTTGCCGGAAACGTGGACCGGCCAGAGCTGAACCGGTCGGCCGGCGCGAGTTTTATATATATATATATATATATTAATTATAAATTAATATTTATAGTCGTATATTATATATAATTAAAATAAAAATATATATTAAAAATAATATATATGAAAAATAATAATATATGAAAATATTAATATATATTAAAAAATAATAATATTTTTAGTCATATATATTATTATTAAAAAATAATAATATTTTTAGAATGTATTGTTATAATATAATATAAATTATTATTTTTTTAATGGTTACTTATAATTGATTATGTTTTGGTTACAAACATATATTGTAATATATTGCAGGCGCCAGTTGAAGATTTTGGAGGAGATAATGTTGATTATTGACTTTTTTCAGAACATATGAGGTATTTGATAGTCTTAAAAAAATTGTTAACTATGCAGTCGGTATGGCAACTATCTGTGGTTTTGAACTAATTATTTCAAAGCACACAAAGGGAGGAACATTGAGGATTCTGAGGTGTAACCGAGGGGAACGTTATCGAGGTAATAAAATATCCAATCTTGTTAATGTTGTCCTGAGAAAGTCGAAAACAAAATATACCGGATGTCTGTTTGAGATGAAATTGAAAAAAGTGGCCGGTACGAAAGATTTCTGGAGTGTATATTCTCCTATGGATGATCGGAAGTGTAACACCCCGCTATTTCATCAAAATCAGAGCACGATTTTCACAAACCTTTTTGAATAAAATACTGACTAGTTTGCAAAATACTGATTCGGAGTGTTACCGTAAAATCTGACTTTATCTGAAAACCGTTATTTTAGTTTGACCACGAAATGGTTTATAACATAATAACCGACTACCGTCGGATCAAAAGCTGGTTTGGAAAAACTGAAATAGTAGCGGAAACCATAGTGTAGCCAAAACATGTTTAAACATATATACAAATGTCCTGAACCGGTCGCCAGCTCACTCCTCGGCTCTGACTCTGTTACCTGAAAACCATGAATAATGTGGGGGCGTGAGCACTAATCCACTGTGCTCCGCAGAAACTCATACTAAAGTAAACAGTGAAAATAATAACAATATCATGATCCTTGCATATATAACTGAACTGATACTAAACTGAAACTAAAACTGAAACTGATACCGGTACTGAATAATCATAATCTGATACTGATCTCGTGATA